GACGCCCTGCAAGCTCAGCGGGGCAGGGAGGAAGGGGGCGGCTTTTACTCCCCTCTGGCTTTCGTCTGCTGCTGCCTCTCCTTACCTGGGCCTTCAGGTGGTCCTTCCGATGACAGTAACCCCAGGGAAGCCCTGGAGGCTTCACTTCAAGGCGTGCTTTTGGCTGTGCCGGAATGGGGCGTTGGTCAGGCCCCCCCTGCCACCCCACTGTAGGCCAAGACCAGAGTTTCTTCGTTCATGGCACCGGGCGTTCCCGATACGGATGGGCTGGTTCTGGCAGAGGAGCGCCTGTGCGCAAAGGGATAAAAATGGAGTACCGTAATGTCTGCACTGTAACCGTTCTTCTCTAATTTGGAAAAGCAGCGCTTGAATTTTACAGCTGCCGTTTTTATATAGCATAATAAATATTTGCACTGACTGTAAAACTCAGTGCAACGTAGCTTGGCAATCCTGGGGAGAGGAATAGGCCCATTGAAAGACTTAAATTCAGTTTCTCTTCTGGATTAACAATGAAAGCAAAGCATTTGACGTATGGGCTAGACAACATCGTTTAGTGTAGTGGTACATGAGTTGATGGTTTTGGTTTTTTTCCCCCCTCCGTTGTCTTCCTAGTGTCCTGAAATGTGCTGGGGGAATTCTTGGAGATCTCTAACCTCCCATAAGAAATCATACACAAGTATGGTTATTTTAAAGTAGTGCTACGTTGTGCTGATAGCTTTTTGCAAAAAGTGTAGCATGTTACTCCTTCATAACTTCTAGGTTTTTTTTTAAAACAAATTGTTTATTGTCTGCAGTTTCAAACACCTTTAGAGCAGTAAAATAATAACTTGATGTTAAGTTAGAAAAATGTAAATTAATATCCCAGAATCTTAACTTACAAGGTTTCCTAAAAATCTCAACTTCATCTTTCACCTTGTGTAGGCTATTCTGGTGGTAATGATAGTCAAGATTAATAAGCTTTAAATTGCTAAAAGCTTATTATTTTACATTTGCATCTGAATGGATGCATCTTGAAGCGTAGGTGTGTCTGTTTTCCAGGTCTGACTGTAGGATTAAGATTTAATCACTGACATGGGCAGAAGAAGGAATAAAATGTTGTGTTGGAGGCCTATTGTTATACAAGATGAATGATATGTATTGATAACTGTAGTGTTAAACTTTCCATAGCTAAACTACAGCATCAGACTATTACCACAAAGAAAAAAAAAAACAACAAATCTCTGTTATTTCTTGCAGGTTACTTACATTATGCTTCTGATAGAACTGGCACATCTTGTTTTTAGTAGCTTGTATTGTTGGTTGGTCTTTAAGTTAGGGGCAATGACCCTAGAATGATGCTAAGTGGTAAACATCAGTTTTAAACTGACATTTTAGACATGCTTGTTTGAAAATACAGCACAGGAATTGTTTTTGTAATGTTTCTAGGATTTTCTAAAGTATTTCTGTCGTCTGCAGAAACCAATAATTGGAGGCTGGAATCCAGTATTTTTCCAGGCATGTCTGTTCCCAGGGGTGTCAGATTTAAAAGAATGAGTGGACTTGCAGGCCTTTGCACTTGACAGAGTATTCAGTTTATTACACTGATCTCTTCATGCTGTTCAGTTTGTTACAGTAGTTTATGCAGTGAGATTAGACTTTGTGCTATCATTTCAAATTACTTAATGTTCATCTCAATGTGAAAATATTTTGGGTTTTTTTAATGTAGCCTAAACTGTACAAGTCCGTTATCGAAGACGTGATTGAAGGTGTACGGGAGCTCTTTACAGAAGAAGGTTTAGAGGAACAGGTTCTGAAAGACTTGAAGCAGGTTTGTTGGGTTCCCCTGCATTAATAGAAGTTGTGTATTTTTTTTCCTTCTGAGATGATGTACCTGTCCATTTCTTTGCCTTCCAAAACATGCAAATTTTTGCCCTGACTTAAGAGTTACAAATACCCTGCCAATGATGTATTGGGCTGCTGCAAGTCAAAATTCAGTAGTGATTGTTACCATGTTTATTGGATACAATTGGTCAGTTTAGTCTTGGAAAAACTAGGGGTACCTGATTATAATTTTAGATTTGGTTTATTTTTAAAACTGATATCTGTTGACCTTAATAATCTTTCTGCAGCTTTGGGAAACCAAGGTGATGCAGTCTAAAGCAACAGAAGGCGTCTTCAGACGTAGCCACCATTGTCCACAGTTTACCCTGCAGTTGCCGCACAATTTTCACCATGTTCTGCAGGCTTCAGCAGGTCAGATGTTGTTGAACACAACAGATGCAATTTAAGAATAGTTCAGGGATTCAAGAATCTTTTTGGAAGACTTGAAGGTGCTGTGATAATTTTGGTTTGTGATGCTTTTGTATATATTTAGCATGATGGGGAACAGTAATTATTTGAAAGCAGAATTTGACCAATAAAGGACAAATTAAACTTTGATAAACTAATGCAATTACATCTATATGCTCTTGATCTGCTGCTTATTTCCAGTAGCAAAACGTGAAGAGAATTTTAGCCTTCTTGCCTGTAGTCCAGACGTGTAGCCCTTCAGTTGCAAATTTACCAGTAGGGTTAAGCTTTCACTTCCCCTTTTAATGTGTGGCATGATGTGTGCTGAGGTTATATGGCATGTTTGTGCCATGCAGCTCTGCTCCCATGTTGGAGTTTACTCTGGTTCTGCCCTTGTTGAAATGTAATGCCTTGCTCAAACAGAAGAGTGGAAGTTTTGTGGGAGGTTTTTTGGTTTGTCTAGTTTTCCTAAAAGCAATACTCCTGTTGCACAGAAGTACTTGACTTTCACACAGGCTCTGACATCAGGACCTATTCTTCCAAATTAAATCCAGCTGGCCACTGTTGTAACGTTATGGTAGAGTGTAATGCTCAGCTGAGGCTTTTCCCAATGTGAGAGGCCATTAGGACCTTTCCCCACAAAGGACAAAAAACATTATGAGATGATTTCATGTAAATCTGTGTCATAGTGCACTTCAAATTTGGGCAGGCACTCTTCATCTGTTTTTTTACAATCTACATAGTTGAATGGACTGGTTTTGGAGACAGATGTTTTATTTATTCCATGTGGTTAAAGGGAATATACTGTTGGGTTTGTTTGCTATTGGAGGCTTTATATTTAATGAGCTTTACCTTGTAACTCCTAATTTTTGCAAGGGCAATACTAAGGCAAAACAATCTGTTGAAGCCAGTGAATTTTTTTTTTTTTTTAAATGGGATTAGAATTGTTTTATAGCTAGAGATTTTCAAAGTAGTTAGGGCTACCTAAATTGTCTGCTTCTTGAAGCCTGTGAAAGTTTTCCCTTTGGCTTATCTTCTCCCACTGAGGTCAGTATTGAGTGCTTTTGAAAATCCCAACCTATTGTTCCCACTATGAGCGCCGTTGGATTTACTGTGGTGCAGAAAGATACTTGCACGTTTTCCTCATGTTGGCAAGGCAATACATTTTACTTATATGTTCTTGGTCGTGTTAAAATAGTAGCATTGCACAGCTGTCCTTCTAGTTGATGTAATAAATAGAAGTGGCATGCTTATTTTTTACAAATGCAACTTAAACAGATGAAATAGTTAAATAGAAATATTACTAAAACAAACAAAAATCTCCAAGACCAGCTTTTAGCAAAATGTAAGTTTTATAAATTAAATGTATAACCCCCCCCGAGTACAGCATAAGCTTGAAGCAACGTAAGAGGGAAGTATATTCAAGACCCTTATCTAGATGTGCTCACTTGTTTGTGTAGTCTAATGAGTATGAACTGACGTTAGATTGCTTTAGTTTCATCAGTGCTTGCTGTAAATTACTGGAAGATCTACTGTGTCCGAGAGATTAATGTTTTTTGTAAAGTGGCGTGTTTTTTTTTTTTTTAATAGCTTCTTTAGTCATCCCAAGTGGTAGAGGCTTTCAGCATTACACAGCAGCAGACCTGGTATGTAGCTGTAGCGACATTTTATTTCCTTTTTGATTATTCTGAATTCTAAATGATTAAGTTTGTCAGTTGTTAATAGGCTTAAGGGAGGCAAATATTAAATATTTTCCACATATAGATTCTTCAGGACAGCATTTAGGGACCAAAAAAGGAGCATTTCTTATGACTGTATTATCTGTCTAATATGGTATAGTAGGCAAGGGAGCAGGAATTCTGCTGAGAGAGAATCAACAGCTGAAGAAACTCAGTGTCTTGTTTTTTTTGAAAACCATACAGAAGAGTGTAGAGGGAGAGCTGTAACTGCTGCTTCTGTCTGAGCAGTGAAAAAGGATGGGCATCTACCAGGTAGTTTTGCAAGCAATGCAGCCAGAAGCATGTTGGAAGACACGGCTGCACCTATTTAGCCCATAGGATGGAAGTGTAGTGGAAATACACATCTGCATATCCTTTTTTTTTTTTTTTTTCTTTTTAATCACTGGGTGTTAAAATAATGCATGCTTGGGAAATGCTAGCACTAGTGAAACTGGGAGCAGAATTATCTGCAAAGAGTAGAAAACATCCCCAAGAAGGTTTTTTTGGAGTTGACAGGTTCTGAACTCTGGTATGGCAAAACTTGTTTCGTGAGGGGAGGGGGTATTAATTGTCAGAGGTTGATGAACTTACTGAGTGCCTCCTGAGTCTCAAGCTAACTAGGTTGCCAAACTGAAATATAATGTTGGGAAGGTGTTTGTGTAACATGCAAGCTTCCTGATTTTCAATTTGGATTTCCCCAGAACAGCTAGTTTGAAAGGGAGCCATATCTCCAACTCTTTGCTTTCTGGGAGAAAAAGAATGTGAAGTGACTTCATAGGTCTAGGCTAGGAGTCTGTGCTTTGTTGAGTTATACATAAGCTTAGGTTAAAGTGGCTCTGAGTGGAAAAATACCTTTCTGGATGGTGTGTACGTTGATGAGGTACAGAAAAGTGTTTTGCTAACAAAAAGGGAACGTGATAACTGGAAAATAAGAAACACTTAGGGCAAGTCATTATCCTGTCAATACAGAATACTCTTTTATCTGTCTAAATCTCAAAAGTCTGAAGCAACTCTTCAGAAAAGATGATCACAAAAAGGCCCTCATTCATATTTCATCTGGATATGTTATGTGTGACATTTAAGACCCTAGGAGATAAAGTATGCACTATTTCTTAATAAAGCTGTTGTGTATCCAGGGTGCTTCACGAGCGGGCACAAGTCTTACTCTCCCTTCCAGTATTGCTTATCCTATACATGTACCAGCTGGAGTGACTCTACAGACAGCATCTGGTAAGATTAAAGAGGAGATGTAAAATGTTACAGTGCATTGACTGTATGTGGATATTGAAAGATGGTCCCAAGTACAGTAGATAAGTGTGAAGTTTAAAGTCTAGGTGGGTAGAATCAGTTATCCTCCTCTTCTTTTGTAGTTTGTGTTTGCAATTGCTGCATGGGGGAAGTAATTACATTGATTAGTTAGTGTGTCAGTAGTGTGCACTTGCAAGATCAGTTAACATGGGTTGCCAGGTGATGCCTTTTTTTGTTCTACAACTGCTCGCAAATATTTTCCTTTGTTAGTCCAGACATAGGTGTCTCGTTCTCCTATATGACAGTCTTCCATGTTTTAAAAACGTAAAGACATTCTGGTGCTTCAGAATCAAATTGATTTCTTATTCAAATAAAATCCAACCATCCATTAACCTTTTTGCTTACACTCTTTTGCTGATAAAACTGCCTGTACTGCTTGTACAAAAATGTGCTTGTACCGCTTATGGTGCAATAAGTGGAAGGCTTATTTCAGTCATAGATTGACTCTTTCCTCAAACAGCTGTTCTTTGATGAGAATTAATGTCACTAGATATCTGTTTTGGGTATCATTCCTAAGGTTTTGAGACCCATAGGCTGGTATCAGTGACTCTGTGCGTGTAAGCATGTGTGTGGGGAAAAGAATAGTGACATTGAATTGGGAACTTAGCTCTGGCATCTTAATTCTAACACTGATAATAATAACTTGAAGGATTCAGTGTTTGGAGTGGTTTTCTTACAATGAGAGGGTAGATAAACTAGGGGTCTTTTTTTTTTTTTTTTTTTTTTTAACTAAACTAGGAGTGTTTTGTTTGGTTTTTTTTTTTTTTTTCTTAGAAGGGATACCTGAATGTTCTTAAAGGAGTGAACTGTCCTGTAGATATGGAGTAGTTTACTGTTTCATCTTGTATTCCCTAGTTTCTGAATTGACATGGAAACAAATTTAAAACAGGTTTGTTTGTTGTTTTTTGTTTTTTAAAAAAAATTCCAAAACCAAAAATGGGTATTAAGCATGATGGTTTGGATGGAAGCTCTGACTCAAAAAGCCTCTGAATGCTTAATTTTCCAAGGCTAAAATTGTGCTTGGGGAGAGTACTGCTTTGTAAACATCCTGTTTCTCATAGTTTGCCCTGAGTATTTGCTGTTGGTTGTAACGGTACAGTGGCCTGGATGAACCTTTAGTTTAATCTGCTGAGACAGTTTTTAACTCTTCTCTTTGTAGGACACCTTTATAAGGTAAATGTGCCAGTTATGGTTATGCAGGCCCCAGGAGATGCAAGTATTTTACATCGTCCCGTTCAGCAGATATTTCGGGCCCTTGGGCAACCATCAGTTCTGCAAACCAACGTTGCCAGTGTTGCACAGGTGAATGCATCTTCTGCCCAGGCAGCTGCTGAAACATTGCAACCCCAGGAGACTGCTGTCCAACAGACCATGGTATCTCAACCGAATGCCATGGAAAAAACACACCTGGAGAACTCTGCCAATACTACATTGGTCCAGCAGCCTTCTGTGAGGCAGCAGCAACTTGCAGCTAATGGAGCGTTGACTCAGCATGCAGACTCAACAGAAAAATCCCAGCATGGCAATCTTCATACAGCTGTGTTTACTCCAGAATTGCTGAATCCTTGGCAAACAACTCAAGCAGTGTACTGCTGGATGTGGAGGGGCAGTTAGACATTGAGCTTCAGCAGTCAGTGCAACAGCAAGTGTTTGATGATATCATTGACCTGATTATCGCAGGCAAAAATGTGGATGATAATGCTGTTCTGAAAGATCAGGACAGCATTGCTTCCTCTCACAAGGTAAGGCCTTTTATTTCTCAGCTGGTGAAAATACATCCACTGGAGATGGTTGTTTGAAGTATCATACGAAATGTGATGAAACGCATCTGTAAGTGACAAGCAACACCTCTAAATTATAATAATAAAAGTTATTATAATTTTGAAGTTCATTTTTGAGCTTGTTTTGAATAGCAGTAGCTGACTGCTTATTTTTACATTAGGAATTTGTTACAAATATTGCTGAAATGCCTGGACTGAAAAGAATGTCAGTCTGAAAAATGCTGAAAGTGTAATGGATAGATATAATGTATTCTTAGACTTCTTGACTTACTGCAGCTGAGCAGACATGAATGACCCTTTGAGAACTTTCATGTCATTCTCACACTGAATCTGCATGTGGATACTGGCTAGTTGTGGGCAAATTGCTTTTGCAATGTCAGCTGGGATTAGTTTTAACTTGTAATGTGTGAAGAGCATTTAACTTGCATTGAGAATGCATATGAGTATGAAAAGCCAGATTTGGGAAGTGAAAATGTGCTGGAAGGAAATGTATTTCCTTGGGAAAAAATCCTGAACAAACTAGCATTCAGCTAGAGCTGTGTGGAAAACCTGAATGATTTTAATTAACAAGCCACTTTCCTGACCTCATTTAATTTTTGTTCCAGAATTATTTGCAGATGTTTTAAGTTCAGGCTGGCTTGCTGACTTTGAGTTGTAGTGCCTGTATGTGATTGAGGCAAATTTATTAAATGCAAATTTAATGACAGTAATGACAAATGCCTATAAATAGAAAGCATGTTATGTTGCTCATCTGGACTTTGATGGCAGGATGGTGAAGACTGTCCGTAGTAAGAATGGAAGGTCAAAACAAAGTGTTATTTTCTTGAACTAGAAAGTGTATGTGGATGTGAATTAAGTGCTACAATAAAGATTTAATGAGCAACTGAAGATGGCTGAAAGCTTAAAGCCATTTTATGCTCCTATGAGCGCTCAGTCTAGGAATTCAGCACTTTTATGAACAGTAACTTGACCTACTGAAATATTTACTGTCTCAGCTTTTTACATCTTATTTAAACAAAGCATTTTGATTGAGTTGAGGGAAAGGGATGAATTAATCTTGGCTTTTATTTCAATAATGAATAATGCTATTTTGGGGGGTGGGGGAGTAGCTTGTTCCCTTTTTTTGTTTGTTTTTGTTTTGTTTTTGGAGTTTTCTTCGCAGTAGAAATTTTGAAGGCCAACATGATCATCTTAAGAAGTTGTATGAGTATAATAGTGTTTAAAGAAAAGTCCAAGAGAATGCATTTCTATATTGCTGAGGAATATTTGGCATGGATTCCATTTAAGGTGAGGTTTAAGAACTAGATTTGCAAATGAACTCAGGGTTTGCAAGTAGGCCAGGACTTGAAACTCTCATTTTAGTGTCCCAGTCTTGTTGCTTTATTAAACAAAAATCTTAGGCTTTGTACTGAACAATGAAAGCTCTGTGGTGTTAATTCACAAGCTGTCTCTGGTCTCTTTTATTCCTGTCAGATGGAACCTACTGAGCAGATGGAATCTAATTTACGATCAGAGAAGGATATCTGCAGTGACACTGAAAGCATAATTCAGCTAGATGGAACTGGTGATGTTTCTCCCAAGGAAGAAGAACCACATACAAAAGATAGTGAAGAGAATGAATTCATTGGCATTATTGAATCAGAGGATCTAAGAGTTCTGGAGGATGAGGAAGATGATGATGAAGAATGTGACAGTATTTCAGATACAGAGTCTAGCAGCAGTGGTGGTGATAATGAAGAGCCCCAACTAGATATAGTTGAGGAGGTAATTTACTTTTAAGTCTTGTGAAGCACATTAGAATAGTTTATCTATGTTGACTGTTGAATTGTTGGACCCAGAACAATTCCTGGTAAGTTTAATGCAGAGAATGCGTAGTTAAGTTACATACCTCTTGAGATAGGAGGTACTATTGAGAAATTACTCGAGAGTTCATTATGAGGAGTGTGAACAAATGAAAGAGATGTTGAGAAGTTATTTGTTTATTGGATGAATTAAAATGCTTAATTACCAGAATTAAAGTTCTATGGTGAAACCCTGGCCTCAGTGGAATGGAGTTCTGCTTTTTATTTACATAAGATCGGGAAACAAATCTAGGTTTCTTTTCCTTCTGAAGGACCAAAGGGAATTGGAGAAGAGAACAGTGTGATACAAGTACGTATGTTTCCTAGGAAAAGGTTTTTCTTAAAGATGTGAGATTTTGGGTCCTAGAGGTTCACAAGAGAATCAACTCGTAGCATCTGGACTTCAAATAAATACCAGTTGATCAGTATTCCAGTTACTGGGGTCAGCTTTGTCAGTTAGCAGTCTTGCTTTTTTACTTGTGTTTTGTTTAGGGTGTGTTTGTTTTTGAGAACATAAGCATGTAAATACGCTTATAAATGAGCTTAGTGCAACATGGTCTTCATGGCCTCTAGGTCTTGATTTTTTTGCACTGGTAACCTTTGTTGTTCTAGGTGTGTTTAATGTCAAGTATATTCCATGCTATTCTGAAAGACTGTGTAAACTACAATTTTAATCTCTAGGACCCCTTAAATTCTGGTGATGATGTCAGTGAACAGGACACTCCAGACTTGTTTGACACCGACAATGTGATAGTTTGTCAGTATGACAAGGTACAGTATATAGTTTGATCTTTGTTCCTTAATCATTCTAAATATAGACCAGACATGGATTTGCTGAAAATATTAGTCAGTACCTTTTAAAGAAAATCTAATGCTGTAATAATTGAGTGTTTAAACTGCATGTTTAGCTGACAGTAGTCTGAAGCCTTACCTGCTGTTTTCTGAAATGAGTATCAATGGGTTCATAATGGCCTATTAAAGGAAAAGGAAAGAGGACCGAATCTTGCAAAATTAAGATTTGTAAAACTGCAAAAGCTTATGTGTTTACTTAGAAGTTAAGTAATGTCAACAGCTCCATGGATGTATATATGCATTTTCAGCCATGAAATAAGACTTTTGAAATGGATAACAGAAAGAGGAGTGCGTTGTACTTTCTTTCATATTTTTTTGGTCTTTGAAGTGCTTCCCAAGAGATTTTCCTACCAGAATTCTGTTGTGTGTGAAAAACAAAACAGTTGTTAAGGGCGGTTTTGTCCTCCTTCATTTTACTGTTTAAAATTCAGCCTTGTTTTGAACTCTTAGAGATCAAATTAGGTACTTCTAACTCTGGTGTAGTTTTGGACATGTCAGTAGTTTAAAAGTTGACAAAACAAAATGTGCATCTTATTTTGAAACAAATATGGAAAAATACATCTACAGTTTGCTTAAGAATGCGCTTTGGCGTTTATTCTTTCAAAAGTGACTAATGATAACTTCATGTGTGTGTTCAACTGGGTCTGCCTTAATGGTCTCTGTGTTTTAGGGAAGAGCTTCTAAGAAAATTGTTGTTACTAAAGTGCAACAGATTGTTTCTGAAACTAGTTGTTTTGGAAAATATAGGGATATGTGTTGAAAATGCATCTGAAGTTGTTTTGGAAAATACAGGGATATGTGTTGAAAATGCATCTGAAATTGAGCCACAGTGTATTGTACTGAAAAGGAACACAAAGTTTTGAAGCTTCATAACTTAATTTGATGTTACAGATGCTATGGGTAGTGGCTATTGTTATCTATAGCAAGTCTTGTCTGTACTGAGTTGAAAAATTGTTGAACATTTTTTAAAACTGCTATGATGTTTAGCATTGGACATGTCTATAGGAAATTTAAGATCAGATGTTATTAGAAATTAACAGTTTGATGGCAACTTCCCCCTTTCCTATACACATTTAATAAAACACAATAGGTCTAGTAGGAAGGAGATGGAAACAGTTATCTATTAAATTACCTTGTTATGTATAAAAGAATGCTGTGGGCAAAATGACTGTCCTGTTTTGGGTTTTCCCTCCTTTTTCTTTCTGGACTTGAAAATAGACTGATGCTTAAAATCCAAGAAATTTTCTAAAGATGTTTAAAATTCCTTCTTTTAGTATTAAACACAAACTTTCTGCAGTATAGGTCGTTTTGTAGGCCTTTAAAAAGAAACAGAATATGCAAATTCTTTCTTATTGTTTTATATGGCAGTATTTGCTTTTGAGCAGTTTTTCTGCTTTTAATCTTATCCTAATGTCCCTGTGCATGCAACATTGCTTTGCCATGTGTATGGGGAAAAAAATCCCACTGCATTTTGGTTAAGCCATACTTGTTTGCAAGGTGCAGTATACTTTGGGACTGATACGCTAATGAAATTGCTCCATTATTTTTTTTGTTTTCCTGCCAGTGTTGAGCTTTCACGCAAGTACTCTTTTTTTGGGGGGGTGGAGGAGGTAGTGCACTAAGATTCAGGAGGTTGTTCCCTTGAGAGGGCTGAAATCTACTGCCTCTATTGATTATTTGTGCTGTGTTCAGTGAAGTGTTTCACAGGTTTTGGGCTATTGGGATTTTAAAAGAAAACAAGTTTTGTAAACCAAGCTATGGTTAAAAACACATTTTTTTAATCAATGGTCTAATACATATTTTGAAGGGGGCATGGGTTTATTTCTTTACTCAGATACATCGAAGTAAGAACAAATGGAAGTTCTACTTAAAAGACGGAGTGATGTCCTTTGAGGGTAAAGACCATGTTTTTGCAAAAGCCATTGGAGATGCGGAATGGTGAAACCTCACTGAAGTATGTACTTTTAGACTGTGGCATTATTCCCTTATGAACTTTCTGTGAAACTACTAGACTTTCTATTTTTTGCCATTAAAAAACCCCGGAACAACAAAGCAAACCCCCAAAAAGCCAACAACAAAGCTGTGATAAAAATATGCAAAATCTGTGTAGTTAATACATGCAAATTAAAACACTGTATTGTTGGCTCCTCAGCTGTCTTTGCTGTTCTTTTCTGATTATTTCATTACTTTTCCACCCAAGAAACATCATTGGAATGAATAGCTTTAAAGACTAAAATGTTGAATCTGTTACTAATTCAAGAAAGAAATGGAATGCTAAGTGACTGTATTTGAGTAAACTTCAGTTATGTTGTTTTTCTTTTAAAAATGAGAGCTAAAGTATGACTTGAAAGATAAAGCTACACAGTTGTTGGTGATACTGTATTTCTTTTCAAAGGCTGCTTAGTTTAAAAAAGGAAAAAAAAAAAGCAACATCTGTGCAAGTTTGAAACCTGTGGCTGTTTCAGCTGTGTACTTCTCTCTCCCCTTTCCTTCCTCTCCCTTGCTTTTTTGTTGTTGCTTTGTGGGTTTTTGGCTTCAGGTTAAAGGCAGGCACTTTAAATGTAAGTCAGGAAATGTGAGTGGAAGACCCTTGAGCTCTAAATATATGAGAATTACTGTTTATTCTATACCATCTATGTCTACTGAGATGCAATGAATAGTCTGATTTAACAATAAAATGTGATTTATTTTCACTGTCAATACAAAGTCATTTAAGTTTGCTTCTGTATATATCCACTACATCCTAGGACTACAGACCAGTAAGCTGTGAATGATACAAATTATGCATAATAATAAAATGTCATCTCATATACATTTCTAGCATATAAACTTCTGGTTTTGTGTTCCCTAAATACAAACTTTGCTTAGAGAAATGTGTACAAGCCATGCATGTGACAGCAGCTCACCCTGCCAGGAGAACTGCATTCCCAGCAGTCTTCAACATTAGCTTTTTGTTTGTTCCTCTAGAAATAGAGGTAAAAGACAGTTCTGTGCCCATGGGTCCAGGCCCTAGCTCTTCAGAGCTGCAGCTTTCACCTGGCTCGCTCCTGTTCCTTGTAGGGCAATACTGGAAACTAAATGGTAAAGCCTCAGCCAGGCTGACTCAGAACAGCGTAATCCTGCTAGAAGGGCAGTGCTACATGCAAGGGTATGGCACCCCTTCCTCCTGGCTGCTTCCTTTACATCTGCTGAAAGAAGACATGAGGCATCTTCGTTATCTCTGCTCCCTGGGAGGATGTAGAGGCCTTGAGAAGAGAAGGAATGTGTAGAAGAAATGGGGGGAAAAAAACCCAACCCTTGTTCATAACCGTACCAAACCCTTGTGCCTGATGGCATAAACAATAGAGATGCTTCCTTCGGGAGGCAGGTTTTTAACTACTTCTTGAGTTTTACATGCTCTTTTTGACATATCTGCTGCTGTCCAGTATCTAAGACAGGACACTGAACTAGAAGGCCTGAATGTGGCATTTCTCTTGTCTTTTGTAGATACGGCTGCTGAGGTGTGAAGGACTGTGTATTCAGAGACAGTTAAAATATTACAGTGTACGATTTCTTCTTCCCCATTCAGCTGACTTGTAGCTGCACTGATGCTATACTTCAGACCCATAAATGCACACAATGTGCAGCTCTTGCCATATGATAGATGCTTTTAGATTTCAGCACTCTCTTGCAGGCTCTGAGGTGTTCATGCTCCATAAAGGTGTACATTATGAACTGTGGGACCATCTTCAACTTGGGCAGCGTAGTGATGCTTCAGAAAAGACTGGAAGCAGAGGTAGTGCAGCACAGAAATCCATGGGACATGACTGGATATGCACCCTTCACTAAGCACCATGTCATCTTTGAACGTTGCTTCTGAGAACACGATCTGTTTCTGCTAGTCACTATAAAATGAAGTGGCTAAAGAGTACCCAATTTTTAGCTAGTTTTAAAGATGGGCAGCTTTTGCCTCTTCGTTGCATCTTTCTGCTTCTGGTGTTAAAAGACTCTCTCTACATGAAGGTGAGGAGTCAGAGCTCTGAGCATCCTTGTGACTGC